ATAAAATGGCCAAAAGTACTGTCAGATTTCAGCCATAAGAATCTTGTTTGTCGCTCCTTTTGCAGCTAGAACTGCCTCTACTCAATGTTAAAAAGCACTGCTCAGATTTACCAGCTCAACAAACCTTGTCTGTAGATGTAGACATGCTTAAACAGGAGAGGATCCTGCTTAACCAAACAGAATGTCACTTTTATGTAGCATCAAGATGTTTAAGAGGCCCAAACTAAACCACGAGGAACAGATTCAAATCCATATTCCTCCAACAGCTAGAAATATGCATTTGTGCATGAAGTGTTGTTTTTGTATTAATACAAGTGCAAGATCAAACAACAATACTGCCACCAGGATGACTTTGTTGTCGTGCCCAACAACACTCTTAACCCATAATAATATTTATAAATGTACAATTTACAAATGTTTTATTGCTTTTAGATGGTTACAACAGAAAACAAATATTAGGGGAACACAAATTTATATTTAAACATGTTTTAAATCAAATTCATTCAAGGGATAGTTCACATCAAAAGTTTAAAATTCTGTCATCATTTGCTTGCCATTATAGTTGTTCCAAACCTGTATTTGTTTCTTTCTTCTGCTGAACACCAAAGAAGATATTTTGAAGAATGTTAGTAACCAAACAGTTCATGGTAGCCATTGAATTCCATAGTATGGAAAAAAATACTATGGAAGTCAATGGCTACCGTCAACTTAAAAAAAAAACAACATTCTTTAAAATATCTTCTTTTGTGTTCAGCATAAGAAAGAAACATACAGGTTTGGAACAATTTGAGGATCAGTAAATGATGACAATTTTCATTTTTGGGTGAACTATCCCTTTAAGTTTCCCCCTTCCTCTTTAAGATATTGTTCCTGACTTGTAAATTAAGGTTTAGGGCTGCACGATTTGGGGAAAAAATATTTGTAATTTTTCCAATTAAACACCCAAAAACTATCAATGAAAAACAAAATTATTGTAATTGAAAATAATTTATTCAAATAAATAATTAAATAATTGAAATAAATTACAATTAATTAAAACTGACAATTTTACCCATTTTCATGTGTCTGTCAGCAAATGCTAATGCCAAACTTGTTGAATGTAAGTGTAGCTGCTATTTGTGTACTGCATATGTAGAGCATCCAAATCAGTCACTTATGAGGTTCCATCTCTGTTAGGATACTACCCTATGTAGGCAGTAGGCTGTGAGGCAGCTGACTTGACTTAGCTTTCTTTTTCTCAGGCCTCACCTTTCTGAGCATAGTGTTGGGCAGCTTGCGGATCTTCTCCACGTGTTCTGCGCTGATGTCCAGCTCGCGGCAGCACACGCGGAGGAGGGCACGGTACGTCAGCTCCTGCCGGTCCAGCTCCACCTCGATGAAATCGTTCTCTCTGACATTGGTGTTCTGGATGCGGACCTTTAGGACGAGCTCTGAGAAGAGACAGCAAGTCTGAGATTGTGACTTGAGGAATCTCTCTCTGCATTCCTCTGTTTGAGTGCATGTGCATTTAAAGAAAGAGTGCGCAAACCTGTTAGCGGAGATCTACTGCTGCCTTCAAGTCATGTTGAAAAGAACGAATTTATGAGATATGCATTTTTTTAAAGTCAATATGTATGTACAATACCTTAAATGTAAATGAGCAGCTGTGATTTTGAGTAAAATACATTACCGTTTAGGGTCACTTTGATGTTTGTTTTTTTTTAATAAAATGTATATTATTATTCAGTGAGGATGCACTAATTTGATCCAAAGTGACAGTAAAGACATTTATAAGGTTAAAAAAGATTTCTATTTCAAATAAATGCAGTTTTATTTGAACTTTCTATTCAAAGAATCCTGAAAAAAAAAGTATAAACGTTTCCACAAAACTATTAAGCAGCACAACTGTTTTCAACATCGATAAGAAATGTTTCTTGAGCAGCAAATCAGCATATTAGATTGATTTCTGAAGGATCATGTGACTCTGAAGACTGGAGTAATGATGCTGAAAATTCAGCTTTGATCACAGGAATAAATGACATTTGAACATATATTAAAATACACATGCAATTATTTTAATTGTAATAATATTTCACTAAATTGTTTTCACTCAGTTTCTGAATAAATGCAGCCTTGGTGAGCACAAGAGACTAAAAAGATTAAAGATTAAAAAGAATGTGTGTGTGTAAGACAATTAATTAGCATTAATCTGTTACTATAAATGTTATTATATAATATATACAACAAAATGTATAAATTTATTTTTAAATTTAATTTAATATTATTATGAATTTTAATTTTAAATTCATAAAAGCAATTTAAAGTAAAACTATAGTAATTTATAGTAACAGATTATTGTTACTTTTTCCATTTTCTTTCACCATTTTCATTATTTACAGTGTATCCCACACGATCTGCTTTCTTGCTACCTAGCAACCTCATAAAATCGCCTTTCAGCAATGCTATCTGCAACGCTTTTCATGTGGAGGTCAAAGCTAAAATGTTCCTGTGGCTCAGTGGTAGAGCACTGCGTTAGCAGCGCAAAAGGTCGTGGGTTTGATTCACAGGGAACACACATACTGGTAAAAAATGTATAGCCTGAATGCACTGTAAGTCGCTTTGGATAAAAGCATCTGCTAAATGCAATAATTATTATTATTATTAAAGCGGAGGTGCATTGAGTCATATTAAAGGGCCTTTAGATACTCTTCACTGACTAGTTCACTGACCAACAAGCTTCCTAATAAATCTTCACTGTACCTTGTACGTTAACAGGAAAAGTGCTGGTGAAAAAGAAGGGCTGGAAGGCCGGCATGGAGCCACCGAGCTGGGAGCAGTTGATCTGCTGCGGGATGGACGGCTGCCGGGTGACGGCGGCACTGGGAACCTGCGGCTGGCCGCTGCTTCCGCTGGGAGAAGGAATTGTGGGACACACTGGGCCGTTCTGTGCTATGGGATGAGGGTGTGTAAACTCGCAGTGGTTGGTGTGATGAGTCTCTGAGGAGAGCTCCATGGGCAGGCCGCCGTTCTGCTCCACCACGGGGATGTAGGGTAACTCCTGCTGGCTCTGGCTGTCTGAGTAAAGGCTCTTGGGCTGCTGATGCTGAGGCGGAAGCTGCTGCTCTTGTGTCGGCGATAAAGTCGCTGGTTCCGACTCCAGGGGCTCTGAATGATTGTTGGTGCCGTTTTGCTGTGCTATGCTCATGTTATCTTTGTCCATCTTGCTGTACAGGAAGGGCGGGTTGGAAAGATAGTTTGGAATGATTGGCAGCTCTGGTTCCTTCACCTCAGGCACGTCTTCCTCTTCCACTGGAGACGGAACGACAAGCATGAATGTGACAGGGTAAGGACATTTAAAGTGCTTACGGACCGTATAAGGAAGGTTTTTTGTTTTCATGTTTGTATTTTAGTGTATTGTAGTGTATGACTAAATGTATTGCAGTGTACAAAAAATTCTATATGTTATAATAAATTGATAAATCAATTATAAATTATACCATTATGGCCAATGATTGATAAATTGCCAGTAATAAAATTCTATAATATTTTGTCTAAATAACTGAATAAATAAAACACTACAAAGTAAATTCAATAGTTGAACTAGTGAATTTAGGCATCACAATATTATAATGTACAGTATGAAAATGGATATTCATTTTGATTTACTAAAGGTTACATTTAACAATGTTATTAAATTTGTAGTGTTTGTAAAGGTTAATTTTAAGCTAAAGCTTTAAAAAGTTGATCAAGATGTCAAAACAATGGAATATGGAATGTTTTAAATATGTATTTTAGTGTTTTCAAGAATTAATACTATCAAAAAATAGTGATGCAAAATTTGAAAATGTATAATGTTATGGCTGATAAATTCTGTAATATTTTATCTAAAAAAATTGTAGCATTCAAAGCTATTGCTTTTAGTTTTTAATGTTTAAAAACTAAAAGCAATAGTTTTGAATGCTACAAATTTGGCATCACAATATAAAAATTAAAATTAAATTAAATGTAACCCCATGTTTTAAAGATCTTCTGAAAAATTCTTTATCTTTATTTATTTATTTTTTGTAATCTCAATTATCTTTATTTCTCAGGAAAGTGCATTGTAAATTGACCATATTAACACTGACAAAACATGCAAAAAATAAATAAATAAAACAATAGTTTTAAATGCTATAGATAAATTTAGATTACACAAAATTATAAAAACTATTAATAATACAAATAAATAAAAGCAAAAAGTAATATTAATTTTGAGATTTGTTAAAGATTAAAGAGTGTTAAATTAGTGTTTTTAAAGATTAAAGTGGCAGCAAAGGTAATCTATATATTGAAATAGGGAACATTTCTACATGCAAAATCAATTATCCAATACTGATAAATAATAACAACAATAAATCTCTAACATTAGTCGACAACCAATATGATACTGAAATAATGTGCATCCCAAACAAAAACAGACTTAAGACATTTGATTTAATATGCAAATGCATCATAAATATGAGTCATATGAATGCATATGAGCATTTGAATCAGTCATGATTTGTATTTATGCATACCATCCTCACGCATTTATATTCTAGTGCAGAGGTTCTCAACTTTGGCCCTCCAGCGCCAACCCTAATTAAACCCACCTGAACAAGCTAATCAAGGTCTTCAGGATCACTAGAAAGTTACAGGCAGTTGATTTTGACCAAGGTTGGAGCTAAACGCTACAGGAAAGTGGACCTCGAGGGCCAGAGTTGAGAAACCCTGTTCTAGTGTACTGATTCCAGTAAACATAACATTTAGGCAATAGACTGTAAATATCTAGACTTTATAGAAAGTATCAGAGCACCTAACACATCATGTCCTGTGATACAGAAGGTAGGATTTCTGAAAACATACCTCCAAGTAGTCTTCTGATTTCAGGTTTGGAAGTGAGTTGAATGGCTAACTCTTCTTTCGCTGTTAGAATGTCTTTGTCGGCTCCGGCGTTCAGCAGATAGGCCACTATGTGTTTGTGGTTTCTTTTACAGGCCCAATGCAAACACGTCCTGGATGAACAAGGGACATCAGAACTACTTAAACATGGTTTGCAACGTGCACTGCATCAGTCAAATGAGTTTGAATGCATTCAGGCATTACTAAAACAAAGCAGTCAACACTTAGCATGAATGTCAGGACAAATCTAACACCTCCATTGAGTTGCTCAACAAATATCCACAGTGAGAAAACCGAGAGCTTAAAGACAAGCTGTCTAATTGAGCATGTCAGGAATGCTACCAGGCTAGATGAAAGGTAAGGGCTTATCTACAGAGCTCAAACTACTCAATTTTCCCCAGTCCTGCTCTGCACATTATAAAGGGCTTTCTGCATTACATCATGACCCTGGGCTTATGCATTTTAAATCCTATTAAGGCCACATTTAAACCTTAGTTAATCAACATTACATATTAAACATTTAAGCAATGTGCATGCTATACAATGTAAAACAATCAGGTGCAAGAAGGTAGCGAGTTGATTAGCAACAGACAACCAATTAGAAACTGTCTTACACATTTGGCCCCGCCCCAAATTCACATCATTGGTTGATCCAGTGTTGATTCTGCATATTTAAATTAAAGTATTTTAATATAAGAAAAGAAAAGTAAAGAAAGAAGGAACGATTTCATTGAGGAGCAGCTGGTGCAGGACTAAAGGAGTAGTTTGCACCAAAATTAGTTTAAATTCAATCATGTTTGTTTATAAAAAAATTTATTTCTTCATAATAATAATTCCTTACATTTATATAGCACTTTTCTGGGCACTCAAAACGCTTTACATAGACCACCACCAATGTGCAGCATCAACCTGGATGATGCGACGGCAGCCATATTGCGCCAGAACGCCCACCATACACTAGCTTATTGGTGGAGAGGAGACAGAGTGATGGTTAGGAGGCCATGATGGTCAGAGGCCAATGGGCGAATTTGGCCAGGATGCCGGGGTTACACCCCTACTCTTTTTCGAAGGACATCCTGGGATTTTTAATGACCGCAGAGAGTCAGGACCTCGGTTTAACGTCTCATCCGAAAGATGGAAATAATTATTATTTATTATTATTATTTCTTCATGGGAACAAATTTGGAGAAATTAACATCACTTGCTCACCAATGGATCCTCTGCAGTGAATGGGTGCCGTCAGAATGAGTCCAAACAGCTGATAAAAACAACAGTAATGCACAAGTAATTGACGTCTCTAATGAATTGAAAATTCGCACGTTCTTAAACAAATCCATCCAGATGTTTTTAGCTTGAAACTGTCGCTAAAATACTTCTGCCCATAATATCGCTTTCTACAGTAAAAAAAAAAAAGTAATCTTGTCTGAATCAGGAGAGAAATATGCACAGATCAAGCAGTGTATACAAGTGAAAGCAGTTCTAAACAAATATGTCAGTATTTTGATGTGAGAAGACAACAGGCAGGAAATGTTATGGACTCATTCTCATGCAAATTATTGTGATGCTTTTATCAGCTGATTGGACTTGGACTCTCATTTTTTCGGCACCCATTCACTCCAGAGGATCCATTAGTGAGTAAGTGATGTAATGCTACATCTCTCCAAATCTGTTCCCATGAAGAAACAAACTCATCTACATCTTGAATGGCTTGAAGGTGAGTAGTAGTACTAGTTTTCATTTTAGCGTGAACTATTCCTTTATGAAGGGGGACACTGCGCCCCCTGTTCACATATCTGGTCACTCCACTAATGTCTTCACTGTCAGGCAAAGCATGTCAACATATTCTGTTACACCAAATACACAAAATAATGATCTTTAAAAAAGCATCATATGACCCCTTTAAGAATTAAGAATAAAGGCGAATTGCTGTTTAAGAAAACGTTAATATAACTGTATACGCTTAGAAAATCAAACAGAGAGTAATTTCGCCTGTTGGGTGAGTGTCAATACGCACCATCCGTTAATCTCATTTTGAGAGTTGATGTTGACTCCACTCTCCACTAAAGTCTTCACCTCATCAATGTCTCCGATGGCACTGGCCTCTCTCAGACGCTCCTGTAGCTCTTTATCCAGCGATGTCGTTGACATTATTCAAGTCTTTATGGAAATAAAAGCTTCATACGAACTGACACACTGTGCTTTTAAGACAGGAGACAAAAATAGACTCTCAACTTGCTCTGCCGTGGCTTAAACTGTTTCCTGTTCTGGATGATTTTCGACAGGCGAGTCTATTTACAGTCTTTAGATTGAAATCAGATCAAAACGGCACAGTATAATAAATCGGGTTGTGTTCAAATAATCTTTCGCCGACTACTGCAATCGACTCGTATGCGCCGCACATCCCATGTTGGGGGCAATTTTCTGTGTAACACCTTCAGATCATGATCTTTGGTTCCTACTTACGATAGCCGGTAAATCATTCTTAAAAACTAAGATAAGAGTCCGATCAGAGGACAAGGAATACAAAATCTGTAGTCAATAAACAGACTCTGTACAAGATAATACACTGATATTATTTATTGATCAAGGAGAATCATGGAAGTGCAGCAATTAACTGTGTAGTGCAGATAACATTAGTGTTTCATTAAATTTCAAACAAAAAGTCACAAATATGTTGTCTTAATGTGAGAATTTACATATTTAGGTATTGGCATACAAATATTTAACATTATGTTCGTTGTAACTGTGATTGAATTGATATTACCCACCGATGTGATAAAAATAAACATTTACATTTATGCATTAGGCTCAAAAGCACACCCAAAGCAACTCCCATTGCATTCAAGATAAAACATTTTATCAGTTTTCTTGCTTTTGGAACAATTGGATTTTGCAAGACATTCTTAGCAGAAACTACGGTTAACATGGTAAATCTTTAAATAACACTGCAAATCTATAATCCAGAAACCAATGATAATGATCAAATGAATTAACAGATATTCGGATCTCAGCCCGGCTCGGTCAATATTATGTGCACATCATTTTAAACATTTGTCTAAACTATTATTCATTTCCTTTGGTGTGAAAAAATACATCAAACAAGAACACATCTTTTCCAGAAAGAGAGTGATGACAAATTTCAGCAAAGCTGAAGTATTATTCAGTATCTTAAAACACTGCAGAGTTCACTCAAATACTGTACAAACTGATATTATATTAAACTACGCTGTCCTTGTGAAAAAGTAAGCACTTGTTGTTGGCGGGCATATCAACCTGGAAAATAAAAAAGAAACATGCATTTACAAGCTTTTGATGACTCAAAGTGGTGAATAATCACACAATCAAGTCAATCATATGTAATAGCAAGAACTAGGTGTATAAGGCATGATGTCAGATTAATTTGCAATGGATCATGGCCAAATAATGGATTATAGCCTCCAGGAAAAACCTTCAGAAGAAGAATTTTAGTGAACAGAAATAGGCAAGGGAGGCTTGACATGGACCATGTATAGCATCTTAAAGTATATTTTCATCTAGCATGCACTGCGCTATACCAGGTTTTGAATTAAGCTATACATTTTAGTAATAAAACGCTTACAATTTCCTCCAATCGCAGTCCATTTTCTTGGCCTAGCGTTTTCAGGAATGACACATCTCTTAGACCCCACTCTGGATGTCTGTAAAACAAAATTGTTGAAAACATTATGATAAAGGGTAAAATTGTAAGAGAACTTGTATTAGGAGTTTTGATGTTATCCTTTGGGATTCAGACTGCAAAAAATTGATTGACTTTCTCAGTATTTGTAACGTTCCTAAAACATGATACATTTACTTGAAGCAAAATTATTATTAGGTCTATTAGATATTAAATCATAAATCTATTTATAGTTTATGCTTAAAACAAGAAAAAATATCTGTCAGTCGGGTGAGAAAAATAAACTTATAAACTTTTTGTTTGTTTGTTTTAAACAACAAAATTGTATTTAATTTAATGTTGATAGTTTTTTCAGAAACAGTACATCTTAAGTCATTTTTCATGATTGAATTTAAATTGATAAAAAAAATTATAGATATTTGTATTGAAAAACAAGACAAAAATACTAAGAAGATTCTTTTTTGGCGTGTAAGTCGATAAAAATAACATTTCTGAGAAGTGCAGTGACGATCTAAACACACTATAAGTGCTGTATGTTTAGGCCTGTTTTTTTTTTTGCAAGCATGTCTTTTCACACCAGTTAAATTATTATAATTTTTTTATCAAGAATCTTAGGCAATACAGATGCTGAAACTTTGCCAGCAATTTCCTTTATCACTAACCTGTATCTCAAGCTGTGGTCAAAGTCAACATTGCTCTGAGGATAATTGATCCATTGAAAGCATAAGGCTGCAAAACAATATCAGATGCAAGCCATTAGAAGCCAATAGATGTAACCAAATGCATAGGCCTACTAATTGAAGGTGTTTTAGCTTAACATTCTGCAAATACCCCATAAGTCAGAAGCAATCCTTGTGGCTTCAGTATTTTTCCAACACCATTAAACAAACCCTAAAAGAAGAGGGAACATTTTTTTTAGATTTAGTACACAGAAATTCAACAAATAGAGAGAGAGAGAGAAACAAAAGCAAGCTAGCTTGATACCGTTGTGCAGGCCAGAGGTGAGATGTGCATCATGTTGATGTTCACGGTGAGGTTACATGACTTTGGGTTGAATTCCACCCCAGTTCTCCCAACTCTGAGACACATCGAGATAGATGGATGGCTTTACATTCTGCAACTTATGATACTGTCTATGTGCCTCAATACTGCAATAAAAAAAAATATCACAATGTGGTACTATATAATAAGTCATTAGACATGTAGCATTCAATAGCAGGAGTCAATTTATGGTATGCAGCCTAATCTAAAGAATGGTCAGGGGGGACTTTGAACTAACATTTAAGGGATAGTTCACCCAAAACTTACAATTCTGTCATTTCCTCACCCTCAAGTTGTTCCAAACCTGTATGAGTTTCTCTTGTGCTGAACACAAAAGAAGATATTTTCAACAATGTTAGTAACCAAACAGTTGGCAGTAGCCATTGACTTCCATAGCATTTTGCATTTTTCTTTCCATAATATGGAAGTCAATGGCTACCGACAACATTCTTCAAAATATATTCTTTTGTGCTCAACAGTTGAAAGAAATTAATAGATGTTTGGAACAACTTGAGGGTGAGCAAATGACAGAATTTTCATTTTTGGGTGAACTATCCTATAGCTCTGTCAGAAGTGTTGCCCTATACTTCATTATTTCTGTTATTTTTAATTAATGAGTTAATTTCTGAGAATTGACATGAATTCCCCCCATATAACATGCATGTCCTTTTCCCAACGGTAAAACTTGTTTTCAACATTTCTGTCGTTATTTTCTATTATTCCGTTAACCTTTATTATATGAACTGGTATCACCTAAATGATTATGTGGATATTATTTAACAATAGCTATTATTTTAACAATATTTATTAAGCCCGCGCGGCCTGCGTGACGTCAGATATAAATTTAAATCAAAAAGTGGCACAAAAGGTCGAATGAGACTGAATAAGCGCCGCAAACGTTTGGAATCACTATGAGATCACTATGAAAAGAGATTTTTCTATTGACAATAAAGCAGACTTGACTTGACTTGACTTGACTTGAGATTTTTAAGAGGAGTGAGCTAGAGATCTACAGAGAGTGTATAGAGTTGTCTGCTGTGCAACGGGGCTTCCACTTCTCTCTGGTCCAGTTTGTTTTCTACTTTGCACAAGCCCTGAAACAAGCCTTCATATCTTAAGAGAAAAATTTACTAATGCATTTTTAAAGAAACCTGTTTCTTTTGTCAATTTTTGTACAAAACTGAACTTTAGTGAGGTGAGCTCGTGGTTGTGGTGTAGTTTGTTCTGTTTTAGCTTGGTGGTGTTAACTAGTGTGAAGTGTTGCAGTTGTGCACTAGTTTCTGCTTCTTAAAGCCTACTTAAAGTTGTCACCATTAAAACAAGAAAGCCATTTAAAAAATAGCAAAAGAAAACAGGTCACGCTCCAAAAAAGCACCAAAAAAAAAAAAAAAAAAGACATCCCCAAAAAAAACCCAAAAAAAAAAAAAAAAAGACATGAAGTTTCTTTAATTTGGTGATTTACTAAAGCTTTATTTAAAAAAGGTCAAAGACTAGATGTCCCATTTTGGTGTCGGCATCAAATGAAATGTACAAAAGTGATTCAATATAGCCAGTATAAGGCATATTAAATGCAAGTAAATGTCTACTTTAATGTTTCAAATAACTTTTGTTACAAAAAAAAAAAAAGGGTCAAAATATAGGTGAAATAATGTTCCATCTTCGTTCAGATACATTTATGTAAAAAATATATTTTTAATATATATAAGTGCAATTCAGAATGTGTTTTTTACACACACACACACACACACACACACACACACACACACACACACACACACACACACACACGTGTGTGTGTATATAAATAAATATATCTTCTGATTTAAGACAGAACTATTTAGACATGGGTCAGATGCACTATTCCCTAAACCTATACTTAAGATCAAAATACAAACATAAAAGAGATATAGTAAAACAAAGTAGCTACAATAACCAGTTTATGTTAAAACAAAAATACAACAATAAAAAAATCAAGGAAAGGCCCTGCACAAATCTGTTTTGAGACTACTTTTTAAAAGTGCATAATGATAACCTTTGACAATGTTTAATTCAGGTGCGAAAAGAATTAATATCTATAGCGCATGAGCACAGAGAGATTTGAGAGTGCACAGGACACAGTTTGAGTGAGAGCAGACATGTTTTAAGTGCGTGCACTCTCTCCGGGCGAGAGCAGCGTGTATCTGAGCGCGCGTGTCCGGTTTTGTGCGAGAGCAAAGGAAATCCAAGCGCGAGCGGAGAGATTTGCGCTCGCGCATTGTATTAATGTGCCTTCGCGCTACAATAATGCGCTCTCGACATTTGTCATTAAAATAACGCCAGAGATGAAGCGTCACTTTATGTTAATGTGAGCGAGTGTCTAAACCTGATTGTCACTGGCAAATGTACTGAATGCTAAATGTATTCTGTTTTGTCTGTCTGTATTTCTCATTTTCTACAGTGGCTCTATTGCCTGAAAAGATGCTCCTACTGCAACTTCAACAAGTATATTCTTCAGAATCAAAACCATGCGGTTATGACGGAATGCCTGCAGAAAGAGACACAGACTTCACTGCAACTCAGTCAGGTGTCACGGTCAGTGTGCAGAGATACCGAGATATGCATAAGTATACTTCAGAACACAAAAAGAAAAAAAATCCCTTAACATTCTTTCAGTTTTCTCACTTTTGGAAGAAATGACTAAATACAGGTTTGGAGCAACATGGGTAAATAATGACACAATGTTTATTTTTTGGGGTAGTATCTCTTTAATTAGTTCTGTACTGTCCCGTAGGATCAGCTCAGTGTTTTTTGGAGGAGGAACACCCAGCCTGGCTCAGCCCTCCACAATCGCTGCTGTCTTGGAGACGGTCTCCAAACACACTGGTCTCTCAGATGATGCCGAGGTCACTCTGGAAGTGAACCCTACACCTGCTGGAAAGGCCCGTCTGAAGGACTTCACGGCAGCAGGAGTTAACCGATTTTCTATTGGAGTTCAGGTATGTTAGGTCAGGTATGTCCAAAAAACTTACGTAGAGGCTCCATAGATCGAATGCATTTCTTCACAGTCGCTGAATGACGGTCACCTGAGGATACTAGGCAGGGATCACGATTCCCAGCATGCTCTCTGGACCGTGTCAGAGGCCAGGACGCTCTTCCCGGGACGCGTGTCAGTGGATGTCATGTTTGCTCTTCCAGGCCAAAGTGTAAAGTCATGGGAGACTGAGCTGAAGAAACTGCTGCTGGTTTGTGACGATCACGTTTCACTGTATCAGCTGACTTTGGAAAGGGGTATGCAGCTTTTTAAACCGGTTGATAGCGGTGAACTAAGCGTGCCTGGTGACAATGTCACTGCTGTTATGTACAATTCAGCACGAGGAGTCCTGGAAAAGGCTGGGTTTCGTCAATACGAGGTGTCCAACTTTGCCAAAAATGTAAGTTAGAATTACGTATAGTATTTCCTCTAGTTCCTGTAGCACCAAGGACGTGTGTTTGATCAAATAAATAAATGCTATATTATATAAGTATTTGAGATGTGGAAATCTTTGTTTATGGATTGTGTTTATTGTAGAACGCTGTCAGTGAACACAATATCGGGTACTGGAGGGGATGTCAATACATTGGTGTAGGACCAGGTACATTTATGCACATACACTACTGTTCAAAAGATTTTTGTTAAAAGAAATTAATACTTTTATTCAGCAAGGATGCATCAAATTGATCATAAGTGACAGTAAAGACACTGATAATGTACAAAATGTTTATAAACAACATACATGACAACAAAAAGTTATATTTTACATAAATTCTGTTTTGATTCTTTTGATCTTTCTATTCATCAATGAATCCTTAAATGTGTCATTGTTTCCACAAAAATATTAAGTAGCACAACTGTTTTCAACATTGATAGTAATAATAATAAATGTTTCTTGATCATCAAATCAGCATATCAGAATGATTTCTGAAGGATCATGTGACATAACGATGCTGAAAATTCAGCTTTGCATCACAGGAATAAATTACATTTTACAGTATATTCAAATTGAAAACACTTAATTTAAATTGAAATAATACAATGTTTACAATATTACTGTTTTTACTGTATTTTTGATCAAATAAATGCAGCCTTGCTGAGCATAAGAGACTTCTTTAAGTCTAAACTTTTGAACAGTGAGCTAATCTTGAGAAAACCCACACATTCTTTCACACACAAGATTTATTTGGTTTGTATTCAGTATTGTTTGTTAGGGGCACATGGACGGTTTGTGCCGCTTGCAGTGGGAGGAGTTCAGAGGGAAGCTCGAACCCAGACTTTAGAACCAGATGTTTGGATGCGAGAGCATCACGGTCACGGGACACGCCGCCGAATACAGCTCGACCACGGCGGCCTGTAAGAATCTCTCATCTGTAGTTCGAGCGATTAAACAGACTGTTGCTGAGTTATTGAATCAGATCGTAATTGGATCTGCAGGCTGGAGGAGGTTTTGGTCATGGGTCTGCGTATGAATGAAGGAATCACCCAGCAGGTACAGTGGAGCACTGCTTAATGCAACATAGGATTTACAACTATAAAACATTTCAAACAGTTATGTTTTGCATGAAAAGAAATACTGTAAACATGGTATGAGCTATCTACTTTTAAAGGGGTCATATGATGTTGCTAAAAAAGTATTTGTGATTGGAGAAATGTCAAACAACAAGCGCTACTCTACACTGCCCAAAACTCGCGTTTGAATCATCAGTGGCAAATTCTTTAAATATAAAAAACGTACTTGCAGGCTGTGAGTCAGCCGGCATTGTAGTCTACTCTACCAGGATCAGGAAACAGTCCTCCATAAAATGTGCTGCACACATCTGAATATTTGGGTTGAAGTGTTCTGGAACAGTGTTGTAAATACAACTTAACCACTGATTTCTAGTCGTGTCCTCTTTTGGAAGGCCAAACAAAGTAGTTTCGCTTTCACAACGAAACACGGCGTCACGCACGGCGGGCTAGAGTGAACGGCGGCGGCCTAGAGTGAGCGGAGGCCAGCGGGCTGAGTGAGCGGCGGCCGGTGGGCTTGAAAACGGCACGGCCGGCGGGCTTGCGGCAACCACATGTGACGACCCCGGGCCAATTCGAATCTAGTCCTCTTTTGGAAGGCCAAACAAAGTAGATTCGCTTTCACAACGAAACACAGCGTCTCCACGGCATGGTGGCGGCGGCAACAATATGTAAGGGAAACAGTTCAATTTAGCTCAAAGGGAATCATTTAAGATTTTAAAGGGAATTTGGACAGAATCACTGTTTTACGGCTGATCACTGGTTATGCAAATCTTCCCACATCGTGACATAGACTAGACATGTGGGGGCATGTTAGAACGAGCCGTTTTAGGTAGGCATGGTTGACTTAACTTTTATAAGGAATATCTCTTTGGATTTGAGACTATAGTCTTTGCAACTTTACAGATCTTCTTTATGCACCAAGAGCTTGTAACACTTCAAAGAGAAAGGAAAAATTGAAATCGCATCATATGACCCCTTTAAAAATTATGTTATAAAACGGATAGTTCCGGTCCTTGATTCTGATTGGCTGAGCCACGTTAGAAGCTGTTGTAAATTACTCTACAAACCAGAGCCATTGAGAAACAGAGTTGCGACACGCTTTGATGTCGCCGTCACGTGGTTCATGGAGTTCGCAATAGTTCCAAACAACTCCGCGCTGTCAATATGTTTGAATGGGTTTAAGTAGGCTAGACAGCAGTTTCTCTATATTTGCAGTAGGGATGTAAAGATTCACTCAACTCACAATTCGATTAGATTCACGATTTTGATCTCACGATTCGATTCGATTCACTATTTTATTTTTTTACAAAATGAGATTTTAAGACAAATTATAAATAAATGTGTCCTTTTATTATTGCTTGGACAAAATGCTGCATGTTTTTTTGTGAAATTGAAATATAACACAACTAAATTGAAATTTTAAAACAAACCCCAAATCAAATAAATAAG